GGATTTAAAATGAAATTAAAGTAACTAAAATATATGAGATGTCACATATCACTTAAATCATTTATTGTGCTCTTGATTTTTGCTCAAAGAGGAAGAGAGATGCAACTGGATTATATTTAACTATAGACAGCTTGGAAGTAGACTTTTCATTTTTGAAGGAAGTTTCTGCAATTCTTATTTATGATTCGAAAATATGCTTAGAGAAAGAAAGTTAAAAGACGCAGGGGGTGACTTCAATAATATGAATCAAATTACATTTGACTTGCCAGACTTTTGAATTGACAGAAACTCTCTCTCTGTTAAATTGTTTGCTGGCAGAAAGAGACAGAATAAAGAAGAAAAACCCTTAAACATGCCAAAACAAAGCCAAATGCAAACAAAACCTTTCTTATAGAGCAACCCAGTGAATTGAGAATATGGTTGTTACTGTTGTAAGAGGATATGCTTGCATCTATCTGTTAGCATCAAGTGCAGGAATATAATTGAAGAACTTTAGAGGAACTGTGCCTGGACTTCTGGCCCACCTTGGGACTGTCTGTTGAATCTTGGAGCCCCAATGTTGCAGGATTATTGTTAGAATAAGGAGTACCTGCGTAGCTCTTTATCAGGAGTCCAGTAAGAATGACAACCTCCTACTGCTAGGACACAGCAAAGCATCCTTCCTTTGGCCTCTTCCCTATAAAATCATATGTGCAATGAAGTCTTATGTCTGATTTATGAAATGAAATGAAAATTCTGAGTATTTGCACATTCACTATTGGACATCCACATTGATCCTAACTAACTTCCTCCAGCCTACAGAATGCCATATAGTTCATTTTCTTAGGATTTTTTTTCAGTTGGTCAGGATTGTTTACAAAATGATTGTCATTTGGATAAAGCTTGATTAAAAATTAATACACTATTTTGATCTGCCAGCATTTGAATTGACTATTGAGATTTTTTTTTTTTTTTTCAGAAAGCAAAGGTATCAAGCAAGAACCACCACTGGAAATCAAGTATAGATGAGTGTTTAGAAAATGCCCAATAGTCTATGCTTAGGAATGATCAAAACATCTCATTTTCACAACTCAAGTGATTGTTCGATCCACACTTCCTTTTAGTGAATTGGGGTCTCTTGTTCAATATGCTCACCTGATGTTGTGTGATTGGACAGGAAATTCAAACCTCTTTCTTGGCTGCTTTGCTTGTGAAGCTCTACCCTTGAATTTGTTTTCCTGCTGTTTTGACTTATACCTTAGACTTCTCCGATGGCCTTCTTTCATCACCCAGATGATGCAGCTCTTTCCCAGAGCATGCAGGGATTTTTCCTTTCTTAGAAACTATTCAAGTTCTACTTATGCATTTATTTGTATTTTGAAAATGTTATGTTCATTGTTTTTCTTTTAGTTTCTGATCTATAAAAGAGACTCAATAAATATTGGATAAAGAAATAGAAAGGCTGGATATTTATGTATTTTTTTCACTGTTTAATATGTATAAAATTAAAGATCACTAAATCAAGACTTATTTCAGTGCTTACTGTGATAAGTATATACTTTTACATTAAAATGTTCAGATAAGATTTTTCAATAATTTCTATTGAATCATCTGAAATTCATATAACAGTAGAATACACTATTAGTTAAAATTATAGAGTTAGATTTAAAATATTTTAGGATTTTCTCTTAGTCATTAGAAGAAAATTAGTGGGATGCCATTTCATTTTAATAAAATTCTTGGAATTTTCAAAAATAAACTATGAAAGCATAAAATAGTATCTATTTTTTTTTTCATTATTTTAACTTGCTTTCAGATGAATGCCCTTAAGATAATGGATTTTTCATGTGATTCTTGGAACATAATATGACAGATACTTTTACAAAATGAAAATTAAATAAAACTCCTATACTTTCTATGATGTTCTTATTGTCACAGGACCTTTAACTTTTATATGTATCATGAACAGATATTAAATGATTGGCACATCTATTAAGATTTATTAAAATCTAAAACTAGCTGCGAGGGCAGGGCCGCCCGGAGCAGCTGCGCATGCGCGGGAGGGAGCGGCACCTGCGGGGCCTCCGGGTGCGGCCGTCGGGGAACTTTCCCTAGGGATCCCGAGGCCGTGCCCGCCTCAGTCTCTGGTACAGGCGCCCCCTGGGAGTTTCTGGTTGCAGACTGGTCGCTTTGTCCTCGGGTCCCCGGCCCCCTTCCACAGCCGCCGAGCTGCGAGGGGACGGCAATGGCTCCTGGGAGCCGCTCCACAGTGGCGTCGTGGCCGGGCCGGGCCGCCGCCCCCAGGGCGCTCTCGCCGGGTCAGCTGTGTCCACGCAGCTCCGTGTCCACGCAGCTCCGCGGGCTTTTCTGTAACCGCGGCTGAGTGCCGCGGTTCAGCATTCCTTCGCCTCGCCCGAGGGAGGAGTGGCCCCCGGGGGAAGGCGGTGCCCAGGGCTGGGCCGCGCCTCCCTGCTCCGCCCTCTGCCTCCGCCCTCTGCCTCCGCCCACCGCCTTCTCTCCTCTCTGCCTCCGCCCTCTGCCTCCGCCGGCCTGAGGTTCTGGGCAGGTTCTGCAGCACTCTTCACTACTGAGCTATCCCCGCTTCCAGTTTTGGGTCTTTGGGGTTTCTGTCTTCATGGTTCAGTTTTTGCAGGTTCCAGATGTCCGGAAACTTAGCCCCTTCTTCTAGGCCCTCTGATGTGTTGACACACGCTTGCTCATAATAGTCCCTAAGATCCTTTATCACTGGTACCACTTGAAAAATCTCTTTTCCTTTATGATTTTGCCTGTTCAGGCCCGTTTTCTTCCTGTTTATCCTGTCTAAAGATTCATCAGCTTTGTTTATTTTTCTAAAACCAACTCTTGGTTTCACTTACGTTTTGTGCTTCCTTTTCTTTCCCTTTTTCCTTCAGTCTCTTTCATTTATTTGTGTTCTGATCATTATTATTTTTTTCCTTCGACTCATTTTGAGTTCGGTTTGTTACTGCTTTTGTAGTTCTGTAAGTTATGTTGTTGTTTATTTGTAATCTTTCTCTTTCTTTGCTGTAGTTGCTAATAGCTATAAACCTCCATCTTAATATGGCTTTTGGTGTATCTGATAGGTTTGGGTATTTGATTTTTCCATTTTCATTAGTTTCAAGAAATTTTTGAATTTATATTTTGATTTATTTATTGACTCATTGGTAAGTTAGGAGCTTGTTTATTTCATATATATATATATATATATATATATATATATATATATATATATATATATACTGGGAGCCATTAGCCAAGTAGGTATGACAATTTCCTTGCCAGCGTACCCCATGTTGCAGTGACATTGAATGTACGTGACCTTGCTCAAGGACCAAGGCAGATTAGGGTGTTCCCGGTTTTAAGATAATCGTGTTTAGGGCGTTCCCAGTTTAGGTTCCAGGTTTAAGGTTTAAGATTATTCCTGCTGGGAATAGGGCGTATCCTGCTGCCTGAGTTCCCCTTGAGTTCTCACGGGATTCAGACAGTATATTTTGGAGATAGAAGCCCAGTGGAGGTGGATTTTGGGCAGAGAACGTGGATTTCCCCAGAACGTGATTGTAGACGGCTGGTGTGAGTTCGGGAATAAAGAGTTGCTGTTTGAATCTACAAGCTGTGTGGTGGCTCGTGATTGTGTGCCCAGCCAGACTGCGGCATTTGTGCCCAGCCAGACTGCGGCATATATATATATATATATATATACACACACACACACACACAATATTTAAATTTTACTATTGACTTCTAGTTTTATTCCATTGTGGCCACAGAACACATGCAATGTTTGGATTTGTTGTGAACTTGTTGAGACCGTTTTTTTTTGGGGGGGGAGGGGGTCTATCCTGGAGCATGTTCCTTGTGCTGATTAGAAGAATATCAATTCTGGAGCTGCTGGATGCAGTGTTCTGTTAGGCCCATTTGGTGAATAGTGTCACTTAACTCTGATGTTTCTTAATTTTTTTAACTTGACCCTCTTATTTGTTGATTTTTTTTTTTTTGTCTAGGTGTGTCTGTTGATGTGGGAGGGGTATTAAAATCCCCAAATATCATTATATTTGAGTCTACCTTTCCCTTTACTTATAATTGCATTTGCTTTATTTAATTCTGTTATTGGGTACACATATGTTTCTAATTATTATTTCCTCTTATTGAATTGATCCCTTTGTCATCATTATGTAGTGCTCTTGTTTTCTTTTACAGTTTTTGATTTAAAGTCTATTTTATCTGCTGTAAATACAGCTACTCTTCCTTGCTTGTGATTTGCCTTTGTATGGAGACTCTTTTCCCAACCTTTTACTTTTAGTCCATGAGTGGCTCTTCTGGTAGACTTTCTTATGGGAATGTATAGTTGATTCTTTTAAAAATCCATTTGGCTGATCTATACCTTTTGACATTTGAGGTAACTAAGCAAATGTTTACCACTTTCTAACCATTTTAATTGTTTTGCATTATTTTGTATATTCTCTTTCCTTTCCATCTTATTCTTTATTTTTGCAGCTTTGTAGTTTTCTTCAGTGATATGGTTGGATTCTTCTCCTTCTTTTGTATCCACTTTGCCAATGAGTATTTTTAAATATGATTTTATGATGGTAGTTATCATCCTTTCATTTCCAGATGTTGAACTTTAAGCATTTCTTATAGGGCCTGCCCAGTGATGATGAATTCCATCATTGGGAATGGGGATTTCTGGCAAAAAGTCAACAGTTTTTGTTTTTCCCTTGATACGTTTAATAGACAAATAAGGTCCAAAGTTAGTAACATGAGACAAGATGATAGGAATGTTTACATAGGGCCTTAGTCCAGGACTTTTGTATTTTTCTCAAGTTTTCAAACACGTAGAATTTTCTTTTTAAAGTTCCTTAAATGGACATGTCCTGAACATTTTGTGTGTGTGTGTGTGTGTGTGTGTGATGGACATTGCTGCCCATCACATGCTGCTTCTTTGTGCTCTGTCTTTTGACAATTACATGTGTCACATGATGCTTCTTTGTGTTCTCTGTGTTTAGCTAGAGAGAATACAGGCTGAAAATACATTGGAATGGGACAAGAGAGAGTTGCTGGAAACTGAAAAACAAGGATTGGAGAGAGAAAATAGAAGGCTAAAGGTCCAGGTGAAAGAAATGGAAGAGCTCCTGGACAGGAAAAGCAGATTAAGTGAAAACTTTCAAGGTCCTGATTTCAAGACATCCTACAGTGAACTACCGGAAAAGAACAAGGTAGGAGCTCTGGGAAGCACCTATTCCCTCACCCTGTGCTCCCCTCTGACGCCTGGGCACCTGCTGCCGTCACCAGTCCACGCTAAGTCTTAACTTCCCATTTTGCCCTCTAATAAATGATAGCTTGAACTTTTCCTCATTTTGATAGATAGCAGTAATATTCAGATGAAACATTGTGACGTATTTTGGATGAAGATGTTAAGAAATAACAAGTCTCTGAACAATTTCAAGAGTTTCCAAACAAAAGAAAAAAATGAAAGGAATTTTTTGTTTTACTTTTTCTAGTTATAGCTATGTAATTGGATTTCCTAAGCTATTGATCTTATTATCAATTAATATGCTTCTCCTTTAATTTGGAGCAACTATATAATAAGCATTTGTTGGTAGTTATTGAAAGTACTTACATAAACTTTTAAATTTATCTAAGGCTAACTCTTCTCTCTTTTTTCTTATAATACTCAAAACCATGATTTTCGAATCAATGAAATGCATCATTTTGCCAATAATTTTTACAGGCAGTAACATAAATGTGAAAACAAAGATTAAATTCAGAATTTGACTTAGAAAAACTTGGAAGGTTTTGAATGTGTTTTTAATCTTCAAAGTGATAGGCATATTTAGTGCTGCAGATGACAATTTCCTTCTTTTTGATAAATAATTTACAGATGTTTAAATGTACTTTTAGTGACAGAACTATAGTTAAAAATCTGTGTCATTGACTATCAGTTTGCTACCAAATACATACTACATTTTTTTCCTAATAAAACATCTGTAGAATGTTAATGTTCAAATCTATTTTTCACTCAATATTTTTAACAGTTTGAAAAGTGAATGTATAAGTTCATGTTTTTGACTTATATAATGAATTCATACTCATACAAACTCTAAGAGCAAAGTGGCCAGAAAAATTTAATTTGATGTAACTGTTCAGTTCTTTTATGATTTTAGGGATGTATTGCAAATATAGTATTAAATTGCATTGGTATTTCATGACTTGACAATACAAATTTTTAAAGCCAAATGTCGTAGTCAGTAATCATTAGTTTGTATGGTACAGACTCATGAACCATCATCTTAATGGCATGTGACATTCTGAAATACATATAACTAATAAATCTGTAGAGAATTATTTTGCAGATTTCTACTTCTAAAATCACACAATATTTTATCATTTATAGAATGTGGTTTTGTTATCCAAATTTGTCTTCCTATTTAATTCATTGAAAGAGGACAAGCATTTGTTCATGTTATTTTCTGTGTCAGCAACTGCTCTAGAGGGCTAATGGGAAGATGAATGGATCACTGTCCCTCTGCAGCATGAGCTTGGAGTTTACATAGGGACACACACACATAATTGATAATCAATGACTCATTGTGTTTATTGCTAAGAATGAAGTCTGACTGAAACATAGATGAAGAAGAAATTCATTCTATTTAATTGTGTTTAATTGTGACATCTTTCTAGTTATGCAGAAATGTCACAACATGAAATGTGCCAGTTAAGAAATATGAGGGCTAACAGGGACTCTTAGGAGCTGTCATAGGTGACGTGTTCTTTCATAAAGACCCACTATAGCCAGATCTGCACTCTTTGGAACCAATATAGTTCTTTCAAAGCAGGCGGAAGTTGGTGACTGTGAGTATTTTAGAAGACTCAGACCTTCCAAATCAGTGGGCGTGCTCATCATTTAAAAGACTATACAATTGCTTAAGTTTATATTATGGTGATGGTAACAGAGAGTTTTGGTGAATTTACTCTCTTCATTAAGAATTCAGACTTACTGCAGAAAAACCAAAAGAGAAACCAAAAGAATTACTTTTCATGTAGCAGTCGCTGGTCAAAAGCCTTGGTGCCTCATGGAAGTCCAAAATATCAATATTTATATGTCCTGAAATGTTAAATAAATCAGAATTCTCCAAAAACATACCAAATCAATCATGAGTAGGAGCATCAGATCTGTTTCTTCTCTATACATCCCTGTATGTGAGTGTGGACCACATGAGGCCCCTGTGTAGACTCATGTATGTGAGTACCGTGTCTATATGTGTGTATGAGTGTTCTACACAAGTGAGTGCTGGCAGGGGAGGAACACTATAGTAAACATCACACAATTGTTGCTCTCTCAAAAATATATGAGGTTTCTTACCACATGACATTTACATCTACTCACACTTGCTGAATGTCTGTGGCTGACTGAAACTGAAACTACTTGCTTCTTATAGAAATCTCCATATCAGGGATGGTGATAGAGTTGGTAGAGTGCTTGCCTCACATGCACAAGGCCCTGGGTTCAATCCTCAGCACCAAAAAAAAAAAAAAAAAAAAAATCCCGAAATCTTCATATCAATGAATTTTTAAAAATCTTTGAGTTTTATTAATCTTAATGTTCAATAAAATTTTTATATATCCCTAGTAATTCAAAAAGCATATTTCACCCTGGTTTTTTTTTTTTTTTACTTTTTAAATTTAGTTTAGTGTTACAGGAAATGTTTTTAATATGTCAATGTTTTAGAAAACGTACTATTGTTTTAAAAATGCCTCTCAATTTTAAATTGAATTACTAATTAAAAACAAATATTCTTCATGTGATATTATCTCTTTAATGTCCATTTGGTAATTGCTTTTATAGACTATATTTGAGTAATTTTCTATTTTTTTCGATTTTCTACAATTTACAAAAAAATAGTGGCACAAAGAACTTTTCATATTGGAAAATATTTTTTAAAATTTATTTATTTATTCTAATTTGTTATATATGACAGAAGAACACATTTCAATTTATAGTACCCATATAGAGCACAAATTTTCATGTCTCTGGTTGTATACAAAGTAGAGTATCTTTATAAATGTACTTGGGGTAAAGATGTCCACCTCATTCCACCAGGTTTTCTATCCCCCTTCCCCATTTCTTCCCCTCCCTCCCCTTTGCCCTATCTAAAGTTCCTCAGTTCCTCCCATGCTCTCCTCCTCATCCCCATTATGGATTAGCATCCTCATATCAGAGAAAACATTTGGCATTTTTTGGGGGTATTGGCTTACTTCACTTAGTATAATATTCTTCAGCTCCTTCCATTTACATGCAAATGCCATGATTTTATTCTCTTTTAATGCTGAGTAATAGTCCATCATGTATATATACCACATTTCTTTATCTATTCATCTACTGAAGGACATCTAGGTTGGTTCCACAATTTGGCTATTGTGAATTGTGTTGCTATAAACATTGATGTGGCTATATTACTATAGTATGCTGTGTTTAAGTCCTTTGGGTATAAACTGAGGAGTGGGATAGCTGGGTCAAATCGTGGTTCCATTTCCAGTTTTCCAAGGAATCTCCATGCTGCTTTCCATATTGATTGCACCAATTTGCAATCCCACCAGCAATGTGTGAGTCTGCCTTTCTCTCCACATCCACACCAACACTTATTGTTGTTTGTATTCTTAATAGCTGCCTTTCTGACTGGAGTCAGATGAAAAAGCAGTTTTGGTTTGCATTTCTCTAATTGCTAGAGATGTTGAACATTTTTTCATATATTTGTTGACTGATTGTATTTGTTGATTGATTATATATCATCTTCTGAGAAGTATTTGTTCAGTTCCATGGCCCATTTATTGAGTGGGTTATTTATATTTTTGGTGTTAAGATTTTTGAGTTCTTTATATATCCTAGGGATTAGTGCTCTGTCTCGTGTATGTGTGGTAAAAATTTGCTCCCATTCTGTTGGCTTTCTGTTCACCTCACCGATTGTTTATTTTGCTGAGAAGAAGCTTTTTATTTTGAATTCATCCCATTTGTTGATTCTTGATTTTATTTCTTGTGCTATAGAATTCTTATTAAGTTTAAGGTCTGGTATAGTGATGCTACCTGCTTCACTCTTCTTGCTAAGGATAACTAGCTATTCTGGGTCTCTTTGTTTTCCAGATGAATTTCATGACTACTTTTTCTATTTCTATGAGCAATGTTATTGGGATTTTGATTGGAGTTGCATTAAATCTGTATAGTGCTTTTGGTAGTATGGTCATTTTGACAATATTAGACATTTAGGGTTTTGTCACAATATACAGAAATGGTAAGTTTAATTATTATCTATAATATAAATATGTTTGCAAAAAGTTCTACAGTTTTTGATGGTGGACAGAGAACTGGGGGTGAGGTGTAGGATGAGATGGTGAGGGGGTAGAAGGTGAGGATATAGAGTTATTAGATCTTAGAAAGAAGCATGAAAGAAGAATCTAAAGAAGTTGGTGAGTAACAAGAGAAGAGACAGAAAGTGATTTGGGGAGACAAGTGGGAAGACAGTAGAGTACAAAAAACAAAGAAACATAAATATTAAGAAAAGTAAATAATGTAAAAATAGAAGATAAATAATATACAACACCACTGTAATATACTATTCAGACTTCTCAGTAGTAGCCTATTCATGAAAAGTACTTGGTTTCACAAATGTTGGGGATATGAGGGTGGGAGGAGAGGGAGGGAGAGAGGGAGGGGAGAGAGAGAGAGAGAGAGAGAGAGAGAGAGAGAGAGAGAGAGAGAGAGAGATCTCGAAGGAAGATACAAGGATTGTTTTGGTTGGATATAAGTATCTTTCCAGCTTCCCTTCATATCCAATAGGTGGGGTTGTCTGTTGTTTCCTGGTATCTCCACCCTCAGAATTATGAACGTTATTAGGGTGGCAGGGTTGGTCTCAGGGGTATGGCTCCTGGAGGTGAGGTATATTACTTGTAGTCCCTGATGGGAGACTATACCACAGAGACCTTCTGTGGCGCCTGCTTGTGTGATGTGGGTGCTTGGTCTTATCTCTATATCACTGTGGACCTCACAATTCCTGGTCTCTAATTTAGTCTCTAAACTGTATCTCACTCTCGCTCTCCTTTTCTAGTTCCCAGTCAGGAACCTTTCTCTCCGGAGATCTTGTGGGCTGAGCTCTGGGGGCTGCACACCTGTCATGGAGAGCTGTTTTATATTGGGCAGTCACTGCATGGAGTTAGTGGCTGC